TTAGTTTCATATTTGTACCATTTATGCTACGAATTAAAGATATTTATCAGCCTTAGAACAAAATGAAATACACTATACTTATGCATTCTGGAGGATCGGACCATTTTCCTCCTAAACACTTTATAGATGCAGGTCCATCAATCCCGAAACCTTCGGTACAGCTGTACATAACTTCTTCTCCATATTGGTAACAGCGTAACTTGTGAGACTGAACACCGTGTGGGATCGGAGGCGGCTGTTCGCAAGGAATTCCTTTAAAAAAAAAAAAAAAGAAATGAAAGAATGACTCCATGTTACACTAACTCTGAAATTTAACTTTATGTACCAGTTGTCATATTTGGTTGTTTTAATTTACAAGACGTGATCACACAGGAGCTACCATCACATTACAGAGAAGATGCACAAACGCTTCCTAAAACCACCATTCTGGTCTGTGTCCAGCTGTCAACTTGAGCAAGAACTTGATACTAAAAATGTCAATATATTTAGGAAAGACTAGCGATGCTTCTCTAACCAATCATGAATAATATAAGAAAACATTGAGAATTAATCATCTTCAGAAAAGTACTATATATTGTAAGAAATCAGAAGGGACGTTGTTGGAAAAACATAGGAAATTTTTTTAAAACCCGAGTGGCAAAGCAAACACTATGCCTTACAGGAATAGGTAGGAATATGAATAGGTATAGCCATAAATAAGGAGGTTTAATTTCACTATACATCCACTTTTAACACAAAAAAAGCCAGAATTAAAAGTGATTTTACAAGGAACCAATGACCTTACCAAAAATAAGCTTGATTTAATTATGCAAAAATTATTTAGTGAAATATGTAAATATATAGATGCTAGAAAAACATATAAATGACTTTATTTATTTAGAAATCTAAAGGATTCTGTCTCGTGACTTTGATGACAACTGATTATTTCTAATTAACTGTACTGAAAATAGGATTTTAGTTTGTGTACTCTCCTTACCTACACACTGAGGTGGAGAACTCCATTTTCCCAAGTGGCATGTTATCCTATCTTCTCCAGATATCCTGAAACCATCATCACAAATATAACTTAATCTGGTGTTATGTGGATAAAGCTTGGGTTCAAATATCTCTTTCCTTTCTTCCGAGGAGTTAAGTGATTCAATGGTTCCATGTTCTATATCAGGTGGTTGAGAACATGGAATTTTTTCTATACGAAGAAAAGAGATCAAGGAGTTAAGCACAAATATAATGTTTAAATTGAAAAATAAAATGAAATACTCTTTGGGATTTTAAAATAAGGATAATTTGAACAAATTAAATTATTTAAAAACTGAAAACCATTTGAAACTTGAAAGAATATGTCTTCATAAACTCTATACAACTATCCGCTTGTTCCATATGCCCCTTCATTCTTGTCCTGTTCATCATGAGGAGTAAAATAGGCCTGAACAGAATTTTATCTGGTATTTACACAGTAACCCAAAGTTTTTGTCTGTATTCATTTCACAGTAGAAGTGAAAGGATGCTGACTGATTTGTATACATAGATTTTAATTTGCTGTTTCAAGATAAACTGGAATAGATATAGAGCAAGGCCTTCATCTTATTCATCTTCACAAAGCACAGGACAGTATTAGCTTATTTGAAAGAATGTCACAAAGCAAGTTATGAACTACTGACCCACACAGCGTGGTGCTGACTCCCATCTTCCATCTTTGCACACAATTTCTTCCTCTCCCTGAATTAGATATTTTTCTTGACAGAGAACAGATATTTTTCCTCCATCTCGATAATTCACTGTTGTTGTCATATCTTGAGCATTGGGAATCTGAGGTGGAGGTGGGCATGATTGTACTTCTAAAAATATTAAAATTAGATTTCTTGATTAAAAATCATAAGTTAAAAATATTACAAGGGTAATTCAGTAAATAGAAAACTTAATAATAATGTAACATATATAATAAAATTCTAACGTTATGTTCTATGTTTCAATATGTTATACTTTTCAGCTTGTATACCCTTTTAATCCATCACATTGGGTTTATATCCTCATGGTGTTCCTTAGACTTTCTTCCTTTTATTCTTTCTGTGATCAAACTTTCATAATTTAGGTAAAACTTATTTTGATTATTTCTAACCATTAGGATGTTCTAGCTGAATAACTCAATCAATACCAGGCACTAAATAAAGACTGACATCAGGATCTTTTTTTTTCTTTTTCATTTTTTTTATTCGAGGTAACATTGGTTTATAACATTATATAAATTTCAGGCGTACATCATTATATTTCAATTTCTGTGTAGACTACATCATTGAGAACTTTTCTACAGATATCCATGATCAAATGTATTGAAATCGGATTAAAACCCTCACAAGATATTCAAATGGAAGTTGATTAGTCAGACGAAGAATTATATTTAATTAACGATCAATTAATTTTATAAAGTTTCTTGGCCAAAGTAAGAATTAGATATGTTCACTAGCAGTTTATAGTGTGTTATTAAAAGTTCAAAACTCCCCTGGAGGTACTGTTTACCAGCTTTCCTACACTGTTAAGGGATATAGATAGATAAAATGCTCCCGGATGAACAGATTAGACAGCCTGGCCTTAGTTACTTGACCAGCAGTGTATAAAAGATCCCTCTGTAAAGTTGCGTCTGAGCCCCCACAAAACTGAGATACTTCAGATATATCTTGTCAGTTCATAATCTGCAGACAAAGCATGTCCTGTTCCACTGAGGGGAGACTCTGGAAGACCATTCCTGGAAGCTTTAGAGCCTCTCTGTGATTGCTCGCTTTTACTTTCTCTTGTTATACTGTGCCTTTATTTCATTAAAGAGAATCAGTTTGAACATGGTGAAAAAATTGAAGAGTGAAATACTGATGAAATAAAAACAAAATTTCATACTGCATCTTTTTTCATTATTTGAATATACACTGGGAAGTCGTGTAAATCTTTTCAATTGTCCAAAATTTTCTATTCAATTCAGGGAAATATGTCACTGAATACACTTCATTTATGCTTATTAATATTGTTCAGATTTTCTGTTTCTAACTAAATCAATAGGAGTATTTTATATTCCATCAAAAATATTTTTTCAGGGCCGGCCCCGTGGCTTAGCGGTTAAGTGCGCGCGCTCTGCTGCTGGCGGCCCGGGTTCGGATCCCGGGTGCGCACCGACGCACCGCTTCTCTGGCCGTGCTGAGGCCGCGTCCCACATACAGCAACTAGAAGGATGTGCAGCTATAACATACAACTATCTACTGGGGCTTTGGGGGGAAAAACAAAATAAAAATAAAAAACAAAAAAATATATATATTTTTTTTCATTTTTCTGTTTTAAATATCTTGGCATAGTTTTCTATGTATTTTCAAATTTATTTTCTCCTGTGTCTGATCTTTAACCACCTTTGTCCTAAGAATCTTAATCTGAACTTCCTCTTGGTAAGTCTTGCCAGAGGTTGGTTTATATACTAAATTTCCCTAAAAGCTGAATTATTATTCTGAAAATCAGCTGTTTATAATAGTAATTGATGCTTTAATTATTCTTTCCTTCTATGTTCTTTGGGTGTATGTTCTTTCTTAGCTTCAGGATTGTAATACCTATTACTTTATTTGGCTCTTTGTTTTATAATGCATGTTTTATACCTGTAAATATCTTTGCCTTTGCTGTATCCCATAGATTTCAATGTTTACTGCTACCATTGTCATTTCATTTAAAGTATTGTCTGTTAGTTAATCACTAATAAGATTTTTTTTCCCCCAGGTTTGTAAGATGGGTGAATAAGGTGTGTAGCTAGTTCTCTTATTATTTTATTTTTGCTTTTAATTTAGAGAGAATGCTTTGAGGACACTTATTACTTGAAATCTATTGGGAATTCCTTTATCACATGGAAATGATCAATTGTTTTAAATTAATTGACTATATTAAATTAGGCCGATATTCAAGACATGAGTACTACAAATATAATCAAGAAATATTTTATCATTATAAAAATGATAATTCACAAGGACAAATTTATGATAAATGCGTATGTATCTAAAAACGCACTAAATACAGGAAGCAAAGATGGACAAAACCAAAGGAAGAAATAGACAAATTCACAATCCTAGGCAGCAATACTGATACTGTACTTACTCTGACTGATAGAATAAGGAGACAAAAAATTTTAAGCAGACATAGACAAATTTGAAGAACACCATGAACTACTTTAACCTGATCCAACAACTAGAATATGCCTATGCTTTTATAAGAAAATAAAACCATCACAAAGGTAGAACATGAACTGTGCAATAAAAAAAGCATGAATAAATATCAAAATATTGAAATTTTACACAGTATATTCTGTGACAACAAAATTAGATTAGAAATCAATAAGAATAAATTATCTATGCAAACATCCATGATACTAAATTGTACACATCAAATATGTGCAGTTCTTTACACAACAATCATACCACAATAAAGCTGTTAAAAGAGAATAAATTATTCAGAAAAGCATAAATATTTGGAAATTAAATGACAAACTTTTAAATAACTTACAGTTCAGAGAAGAAATAAAAAAGAATTGTAGAAAATATTTCACATAGAATTAAACGAAAATTCAATGAATATAAATTGTTTTTGAGACACAGCTAAAGCAGTATTTAGAAACAAAAATGTAGTTTTAAAGGTTTATATTTACAAAGTAGGATGGTTTAAATCTATGTTTTCATTTTCTACTTAAGAAATGTGAAAAAGAGTAAAATTAAAATCAAGCTAATAAGAAGGAAGGAAATAGGAGAGAAGTCAAGATGGTGGTGTACGCAGACTCTGAACTCACCTCCTCCCATGGACACAGCCAATTTACAACTACTCTTGGAAAAATTACCCCTGAGAGAGAACTGAAATCTGGATAAGAGGAACTCCTGCAACAACGGACAATCCTAATTGAGGTGGAAGAGGCAGAGACTCCCTTCTGGAGAGGAAAACGCCGCCTTCACAAGCCGCCAGCGTTACGGCCGCCGGGAGCAGCTCACAGGTCCGCAGCCTCCCTGGAGGCGCGGGTCCCTGAGCCGGGAGCGCCCCCGCTGTGGGCATTTTGTGGACCCAGCACAATCGAGACGAGTGGCATAATATCTGACTGTGCCTGCTACTAAAACATTGGGGAATACCCCGAGAAAAGCTGGTTCACAAAGAAACTAAAACTGGCTCTTAAAGGGCCTACATGCAAACTCACCCGTTTCACAAATCAACCTAAAATCACCAGAAAGAAAGGTGCACAGCGCTTTGGGGAAAAGAGACCCACCTGATAGTCTCTGAGTGCATTGCAGTGAGAGGTGAGACCTCTCCAGGGACTGGGACATTGGTGGAGGCCATTGTGGTGGCCTGGTGTGGGGGTGCTGACATAGACGCCATTGGAGTTCTCCCTGAGGCCTGCTAGCCCAGGGTCTGCCCCACCCATGAGAGCACCGATTTAATCCAGCTCAGCCAGGGCAGGCAGCCCACCCTAGAGACTGGCCCCACCCAACAACAAGCCCTCGGGCAACTTGTGGGGATGCTAGGAGAGCTGCCTGGATTCACCACAGCCTTGTGACTGGGTCTGCCTCTGTAGGGCAGGCTGTGTGCAAGGAGTGGGTGGAGAGTGTGGGGCAGTGGTGGAGTGTGTGGGGCTCCCGCCTTGGAGAGACTGGGTCCACTTCAGGAGGTCGGGGTGCGTGCATGGAGCAGGACTGTGTTGACTGTGTGTGTGGACCTGTGGGCGGTGAGGCTTGTCAGCTGCAGAGGACTTGTGCTTCTCAAAGAGTGACATAGGGGGTTGGCCCCACCTTCCAAAGCCTGAAACAATTGGGTGCTCCTGTGCCTGAGGCCAGACCAACCCAGCTGTAACCCTCAGAGAGTTGACAAGGGACATAAAGACTAGAGGTTTATACCAAGTGTAAGCCCCTGAGCCTAACAACCTGCTGCACTGGGGGACGACTCACTTAACAGAAATATGGCAACAGGAGTGCGCTATTAGACCTTGCAGCCAACTGTGCTGGGACACCCCACACCTGATAAAGAGACTGAAGAGCCCACAACAACTACAAGCAGCTGAGCATTACAACAGCTGGCCAGGGGCATAGCTCAGCCTCCTTGGGCACCTACGGGAAGAACAACCCCACCACAACAGAAGGAAACACGTAGCCCACACAGGGGTCACTCCTGGAACATTTGCAACTGGAGAGGAGAGGGAAGCACACTCCAAGGCCTCCTAAGGCTTCACTTATATAAGGTCACCTCTATGAGAGCAGGAGACGTAGCCGACCTACCTAATATATAGACACAAGCACAGGGAAAGAGGCAACATGAGGAGGCAAAGGAATATGTTCCAAGTAAGAGAACAGGATACAACCCCAGAAAAGGAACAAAGTGAAACAGAAATGAGCAACTTACTAGAAGAGCATTCAAACAAAAAGTGTTAACGATGCTCGCTGATCTTAGGAGAAGAATGGATGAACTCAGTGAGAAAGTCAACAAAGAAATGGAAGATGTAAAAAAGAACAAATCAAAAATGAAGACTACAATACTGGAAATGAAAAATTCACTAGAGGGACTCAAAAGCAGAGGAGAGGATACAGAAGAACGGATCAGCAAGCTGGACGAAAGACTAGAAGAAATCAGCCAGGCTAAACAGATTAAAGAAAAATAAATTAAAAAGAGCGAAGACACTCTAAGGGATCTCTGGGACAACATCAAGCATACTAACATCCGTGTTATAGATGTCCCAGAAGGAGAAGAGCAAGAGAAAGGGGCAGAGAATCTATTTGAAGAAATAATAGCTGAAAACTTCCCTAACCTAAGGAAGGAAACAGACATCCAGGTACAGGAAGCACAG